AAAGTAATGCTTGAATTTATGTTATGACTGAAACAATTTTTTCTGTCTAAGTGGAAAAGACTAATATTTCAAAATTAGATCAAAATTATGGGAAAGTGTTCTTTTACAAATAAAGAAATAAAATGCATGTGACCCTGTTTATCTGATGGTTGTACAGATGTCAAGCCCAAAGGTTTTCAGAATTTCAAGTAAAAGAATACTGCTGTAAATCACGTCAATCTTAGGGTTCTTAACTCAGCAGGAAATATCAGGACATAATACCTATTTAAAAAGTTAAGGGGTAGAGGGATAACAGTAACCCAGTGGTAGGACATGTGGAAGGCCCGGGTTCAACCTCCAGGACTACAAAAGTCAAGAAAGTTTTTTGAATAAAAAAAAAAAAAAGAAAACTAAAACACATAAGTTTTAATGATAGTTTCAGATTTTGTTTTAAAATTTTATAGTTATTATTAAGGTGTTATACAAAGGGGCTACCGTTTCACAAGTCAAATACTGAGTACATTTCTTTTTTGGACAATGGCACTCTGTAATTTCTGATCTTGGCTTTTAGGACTCAGTAAATTATAGAGAGACCTTAGTCATTGACTTCTTCTTTTGGGGTACACTACCATCCTTAACATCTGTAAATGAACCTTGCATATATGTAATCAAGAAGATGGTTATATCTAGGTAGTCTAAAAGATAAGAGTTTCACTATATTCTAAATTTAACATGCAATGATTTCAGGAGTATGGAATTTAAGAAAGCTTTAAACAGGCTATCCAGGAAATATACCTATATTGGACAATTGCTAAATGTCCTACACTTATAAATTTGACATTTTAACAAATGATATAAAGGATAATGTGTGAAATAAGCAAGGATATGTTCATTGCAATATTTTTGGTAGACTCCAGTCTCAATTAGTTTAATACATTCAAATGCACAGAATTAAAACAATTGGCAAACACTTTACAAGACTCCCTCTGAACTCTTTTGCCAAATCTCATTTCTTAGTCTAGAAAATGTGTTCTCGTTAAAGAAAAATATAAGTGTGCAAATCTTTGAAAATTATTTTATATTTCTTGACTTCTTGGTTCAGATTTCCTAAAAAATGACTAAAACCTACTATAAAGAGTTTATTTTCTGGCGAAAGAGGCTGTTTTCTAGATTTATTGAAATTATACACCTGTTGTTTATTGGTATTATAAGTAGATGTAGTCAAATATGAATTGTAGTGAGAACCATAATAGTAACTTCTTATGAAGGGAAATCACTACAGCTTTTCCATGACATATGCACCACTGAGTATAGCTAAACTATTGGAGGATAAATAAGTTGTGAAAATAAATTTTATATTATTTATAATTCTCAAGAAATATATTTCTACTACTGAGTCTTCCCTGGACACTTAGACTCCACTTACAATTAATAGAATTTGCATTGACAAGGTAAAGAAACTAGAGTAAACAATGTAATAATTCTCTATGAAACTTAAGTCATTCTTCTACAGAAAAGAAATCCTGTTACAACTTTGGTTTACTAAGTAAAACTTTTTAAGGGACCACAACTGTTTATTCATTTAGGAAGATTAAGTAAAAAAATTGTAATCATGATACTTTATTTCCCATTTTTTCAAGATATAATGTCTTAATTTTTATAACAAGTTTAAACATATGGGATTTTGAATCGGTATTTCTGATAGAAATCTAATATTTTCAGTGATATTATAATATCACTGAATATTGATCTAATATCAATATATAACAACATTCTAATAGTAGTACATGACAACATAAGCAACTTGTGATTGTTTTCTATTGCTCATGGATTTCCATGTCTATAGATTTTTTTCCCTCACACTTTACAAGGTAGAATGTTTATTCTTAACTGCAAAGATCTGGATTGTTAATTATTGTATAGAAAGGTAGAACTACAATTCTTTCTTTTCCTTATCACTTTGTGAGTTTTTTCTCACTATTTTATGAACAATGAAAATCCCATGTCTGAGCTTTAAGCTTGAACTAGTTTTCTAGGTCTTATTTCCTATGATAGTACCTTGTGAATTGTTACTCATATGTGCGTTTGTTTTCTCTGAAATGAAGTTAATTGTTCCTTTAGAACAGGAATGGATAGAGACCAAAAGTCATCAAATATTCCCAACCTGTGCCTTACAATTAGGTGAAAAATTGAGAGCTTGTTATTCTTACTTGCTTTCCCTAGGGCTATGAACACTTGATAGAAAGATCCACATCAGCCCTTTTGAGCTCTTCCTCTGAAAGCTTAAAGGTGTTTTCAGTGACTGTGTTCTTAACTGATAGTCCATATTTGGTCCCAGCTCTCCATGATTAGCATTTTATTCTGAATTTGCATTCACATTATGTCCCATAGAACCTCTTTAAAGCAAAGTTGTTTTTATGACTATTAGGAAACTTCTTTAAAAATGTATTCGAAACGGAAAGAGTAAGAACTTATTTGACAACAAAACTCCTCTTAGTGTCCTTATAACTGTTTGGATGTGATCAACATTAACTCAATTTGATAGACAAGCTATAATTAACTCTAACCTATACTGTTTTCTGTTATTCAGAATTATTCCTTAGTGAGTTGAAAACTTAATTTCAGATAGAATGGTATCTGATGCCTGAGATTCTTAAGTATATTTACACTATTTACATGAAATGGAATGTTTGTCTACAGGGCCTCAAGAGGGACTTGCTTCTTGGAGGTAGATTAACAATTTTTAAAATGCAAAGTTATAGAATACTAACTAGAGCAGGTGAAGTCTTGATTAAGATATATTTTTTTCTTTCTATTTACTGCAAGGTTGAAATTATTCTTCCTAAAGCAAAAGACACTAATTTTTGAACATGTCATTTTAAACCTAGTTATTGCAAGAATGATGAAAACTAACAACGTAGCAGGGAAATTTAAAAAGTAATGTAAAATAGGCCAGGCACTATTTGCTATGATGGTCCAATAACAGCAAGTGAACCTGAGCATCTAGGCTTTAGTTAGGACATTGCCATGGTTGTTGGCTTTACCTAGATCTGAAGTTGTCTTCAAATTTGCTCTGAAGAAATTTTCAGTGCAGAAATTTTGTGATACTTGTTATGAAACATCATATTTATTTGAAATTGTTCATTCCCAAGAGACTTACTATCTTGAGTAACCATGCAGCTTTTCTCTCTTGTGAGTAGTTCAGATAAATGTATTATTTATTTACATTCTATCATATACATTATTTATGGGAATTATGCTACAACTCTACTTGGCATATGGAAGTTTTCTTTGTGGCACAGAGGTGGCATCTGTGCCCCAAATGGTACATCTTTAAGTAGATAATAAGGGTTACCATCAATGTACTCTCATCTCTCAGAGCTGTCTTGTATTTATGCTTCCTAGTTCCAGAGGCAACAGCCTGTTGCTATTTTCATTTTAATTGTCATCATTTTCTTGGCTGTAGCTATGAACAAAGAGAATCGGGAATTTTGCATAATTGATCTTAATGATAAATTAATGTTTTAGTGAAAAGATTTTGAGTAATAGGATCATTTAACTCTTTCCTTTCTGTGAAGATATTTTCTCTGACCCTAAGGTGTGCCCAGATTTTCCCAGGAATATTTATTGTTCATGGAATTTTTAACACTGGTCCTGTAATTGGTGGCTCGGTCTATTGTTTGTCATATCTGGAGATTTTTTTTTTTACAAGCTGTATTCAATCTCAAAATCACCAAGAAAATACTAGATTCATTGTGTCCTGAGCTTCCTTGCACAAAATGAGACATGAGGGCAATGTGTATCCTGTACATACCAAGTGTATTGTTGGTTTTCAAATGTTTTTATTCTAAGAATTATTCAGAACCAGTAACCGTCTGCATTTTAGTGCATATAAACATTATATGCTAGAATTTGGGATTGTAGAAATGTGATTTTATTTTCCCATGCCAGTTAGGTGCATTGTTCTTCCCTCCACTGTTGAGACATTCTAAAGGTTTGCTTGCCACCCAGACGGTGTGGGTTTTTTTTTGGGGGGTGGTGGTGGTCTAATGCTTGTTGAGGGTAGGTAAAGAACATACTAATAGAAAAAAAAAGAGGAGAATAAAGCACCAACATCAATTATGGGCCTTATCTTAGCGTATAATCTACTTATAATAGTGCAAATACTCTGTAACTGTGAAGCAGTATGAATAAGACCCAGCCCTTGGGCATAGGTGAAGAGTAACATTTTGATTCATGGTCTTTCCTAAAAAAGTGAACAATACTTACAATTTTGTTGTTGGTTTCTAGGTTAAGTACCTCAAGATATAGAAAACTTGGCCATTCTAGAAACTTAAAATTAAATTTGGGGGGCTGGAAAGGTGGCTCAGTGGTAGAGCACTTGCCTTGCATGCTTGAGGCCCTGGGTTCGATTCCTCAGCACCACATAAGAAAAAAGTCGGAAGTGGCGCTGTGGCTCAAGTGGTAGAGTGCTAGCCTTGAGCTGAAGAGATGAGGGACAGCGCCCAGGCCCAGAGTTCAGACCCCACGACCGGACCCCCCAAAAAAAAATTAAAAAAAAATTAAATTTGGGATGCTTTGAGAAAGTCCTACTTCATGATCTTATCCAAGATAATACAAGAGAGGAATAATCTCCCATCTCTGACTTTAACAGTCAGAGCTTAAAGATTTAGAAATCCTTGAGGAATAACAGATGCTTCAAAAAAATCATTGAGAATATAACAGTTAGAGGTGCTTCTTAAAACTCCTAAGGAAAGGAGAGGATACTGTAAAACATACATTATTGCTAATTATCAGTGTAAAGCAATAGGTAAAGTAACTTTCCAATGATTCTTTTATCCAAAACACAGTGCTACCAGGTAGGAAAATAAAACAACACTGCATATTGGCAAGCTTTTATCCTCCTCATATCGAAATTGTGAATTTTCTGCTTTGAGAGTAGAAAAGATAAAACTTCCAAAATACTTGACAAAGAACAACTAAGTGTGCTGATTGCAACTTTCAATCACACACCCTTTCAGGCAGGCGGTGTCCCAGGGATGTACAATTTAGAGTCAGAACATTCGTGCTTGAACCTAGACTGCTATGAGAAGGTAAGTCACTTCCCCTTGGTGGTGAGTCTGTTTCATAGTCTGTCAAATGAGAGATAATAATAGTAATAATAGTCTCTTCACTGAATTACTATAAGAACTGCATAAGGGCATTTGTGAAGCATTTAGGATTGTGCTCACTCCTGTCACCACATTGAGCACTAATTAAATAACTTTGTTTTTCCTGTCCATTTCGGAAAAAAGGAATTGGATTTGGGGAGGAAACACTAGGTACTGTTGTTTATAAAGAATTTTGGAGCTCTTAAAAAAATGTCACTATAATCCTTAATATGAGGGGTTTGCTATTATTCAGATTTTATCATCGTGTAAAAAGAAACAAGAGCTGGGCACTGGTGGCTCATGCCTGTAATCCTAGCTACTCAGGAGGCTGAGATCTGAGGATCATGGTTCATAGCCAGCCTGGGCAGGAAAGTCCGTGAGACTCTTATCTCCAATAAACCACTAGAAAACTGGAATGGGCTCTGTGTCTCAAGTGGTAGAGCACTCGCCTTGAGTTGAAGAGCGCAAGGACAGCGCCCAGGCCCAGAGTTCAAGCCCCACAAACGACAAAAAAAAAGAAAAAAAAAGGAAACAGGAAAGCGTGGTGGCATATTCTTGTAATCCCAGTATTTGGGAGGATGAGGCAGGAAGATCTTGAGTTGAAGACCAGCCTGGCCTATATAGGAAGACCTACCCTCAAACAACAACCAGCCTCCAACCAACCAACCAACTAAACAAATAAACACAAAGAAACTATCCTCAGCCATATTTCTGAGTCAGTACAGCAACTTTCTGAAGATGCATGATTAAGGTAAAAGTCAAATGAAGCTATGTGCAGACCTTGATGAGAGTTCCTCAAATGCCCTGCCTCCTCCTGCCACCCAGAATATGGGTCACCTTGATTCTCGGTTGCTCACAGGGTCTTGATAGCTACTTATACTAAGGAGACAATGTTTTTTGAAGGATGGGATGTTCTTTTTGCTAGGATGTTTGTGGTTGGAAGTTGTTTTATGTAAGACACTAGAGTTTATTTTATCTTAATTTGTTTGCAGAAGCCTAAAACAAAGTTTCAAATAGAAAGCAAGCTGTCTTTTAAAATGGATTTTTAGAACACCAGGTAAACTGACATATAATTTATTGATCTTCTTCCACTGCTAAGTAGAAATAATAAAAAAAGAACTAAAATGTAAAAGAAATCCCTTAGCAGATCAATGAAGAAGGTTTGAAAAATATTTCAAACTATTTGGAAATATTTTTAACTATTTGGAAATACAGTAGCACTAGTTGGAGTAGGGTTTTGCTTATTTGTTTGAGTGAAACTTGAAAGTCTATTTACTTTGTACAGCTTGTAGGTATGATTTTAGGATCAAAATACATATCATTGTTAAAATCTTGAAATATAGGAATATATTTGATTAGTATAATGCCCTTTGTAATACAACAGCATAGATAAGAGAAAGATTTATGCCGGGCGCTGGTGGCTCACGCCTGTAATCCTAGCTACTCAGGAGGCTGAGATCTGAGGATCGCGGTTCAAAGCCAGCCCGGGCAGGAGAGACCGTGAGACTCCTATCTCCAATAAACCACCAGAAAACCGGAAGTGGCATTGTAGCTCAAGTGGTAGAGCGCTCGCCTTGAGCTGAAGAGCTGAGGGACAGCACCCAGGCCCAGAGTTCAAGCCCCATGACCGACAAAAAAAAAAAAAAAAAAAAAAGAGAAAGATTTATTTATTGACATTTATTTATTCATTTATTTGTGGTAATACTGAAGCTTGAACTCATGGCCTGAATGATGTCCCTGAATGTGTTGTTCAAGGTTAGCACTTTACCACTTGAACAACAGCTCCATTTATAGCTTTTTGGTAGTTAATTGGAGATGTGCACACTGCCTTGGAATCATGATGCTCAGACCTCAAACTCTTGAGTAGTTACGATTAAAGGTGTGAGACACTAGTACCCATCTATTTTACTTTTTCTTGTGCCAGTCTGGGGCTTGAACTCCTGGCCTAGGTGCTATCCCTAAGCTTTTATGCATAGTACTCTATCACTTTTAGCGTGTGTGTGTGTGTGTGTGTGTGTGTGTGTGTCTGTCTGTCTGTCTGTCTGTCTGTCTGTGTGTCTGTGTGCCTGTGTATGTGATTTATTGGAGATAAGAATCTCATGGACTTTTTAGCCTGGGCTGGATAGCTCTACTTCTGGCTTTTTGGTGATTACTTGGAGATGCTCAGGCTGGCTTTGACCTGCAATTTCCAGATCGCAGCCTCCTGAGTAGCTAGAATTACAAGTCTGAGCCACCAGTAACCAAAGTATTTACTTTGAGACAGAGTCTCACTCTGCTGCCCAGACTAGTCTTGAATTCCTAGGCTTGTTCTCCCACATAGCTGGGACTATGGGGGTGTTTATTACCAGGCCTGGCTCCTACAGGAAAGATTATTAAAATATAAATGCTTCTACTAAGACATTTTTAGTGCAATCAGGCTTTATTTTTTCTTCTCTTCATGAGATTGTGTTCCACAGCATACTACTTAGTAGAATTTGAACAATCAGTGCACTTGAACAGTTTCTAAATTGCTCATCCACTCTGTGTTCTGTGTTACTTTCCAGTTTTCCAGTTTGGGTTGTCAATACTTGTCAATTGCTTTTCATTGTAATTATTCTTTCCCTCTATAATTTGTGTGCTATGTGCCTCATGTAGAAATCTGTTACCTTCTTAGACCACAGTGGAACGCATCACCAGGGGATGATAGGAGCTTTGATTCCAGTAGTAGAAGAAAATGGGCAAAATTTAATCACGGATCCTTGGATTTTATCCAGAAAGCTTTTGAAATATTTTGGGTATACTTGTTCATCTATAGATGAAACATTATTGATCTTTAAACTACTTGGATGGATTAGTTAAACTGTGCAGATCTATCACCTGCGAATATTAGAGTTGAGAACTAAAAGTAGCAAGCAGTGAGAATGCAGGACTTTCAGAGGCATAGACAGAATGACCCATGATGCTACATCTGAGCTAATTTTTGCCCTCCGTGCCTACCATAGCAGTCAGCCTCCAAGTAGTGAGAGGAAAAAGAATTGTGGACATTTTCAGGAGTTTGGGCAATGTATTTCATGGATCAGTAATATGTATGTATATATATGGAATATATGCATATGCATGCATATATAAACATATATATGTGGAATTTAAAGTATATATACATACGCACACCATATATATATATGTATAATTTGCCTTGTCATTCAAGTCCTCTCTGTCACCTTTTTGGGGAGGGTGGGGGATACCAGTCCTGGGACTTGAACTCAGGGTCTATCTGTTGTCCCTTAGCCTTTTGACGTTCTGTTACTTAAGTGACACTTTTACTTCTGGCTTTTTGGTAATTAATTGGAGATAAGAGTGTCATGGACTTTCCAGCTCAGGCTGGCTTTGAACCAGGACCCATAGATCTCAGTATTACAGGCGTAGTATTAAAGGCATAAGCCACTAGTGCCTGGCTTCCACTACATCATTTTGTCTTTTGCCTCTAGCACATGAATGGGATGTGCTGCTGAGCATGGTGAGTGTGCACACATGTGCCTTTGTTGCTATGCATGCATGAGTGAATACGCATGTATACCTTTATGTACCAACCATCACTTGCCTGAACCCAGGCTTCAGCAATTTCTGGAACTCATACAATTACCGTGTGATAGAAAACTTTTCACTTAAAGATGAAATTACTCCTTTGAGAATTTTCACCAAAGGCAAAAAAGCACAAAAATCCTTTTCCTCCTCTCTATATGCCTCATTACACAGAGATAGAAGATTCAAGTTTTGAGAAATTATCATTTTGTAGGTTTTATTTGTGGTACGTGAGAACTGGGAAATATAGAGCTCAATTTAACAGATACTATCTTTGCCTCCACAAACTACCCACCGCTCCCATCATATATATGGTAATATCTAACCTATACATTATTTATGTAAATATTTAAGTACATATATGTGGAAGCGACACACCAGATTTGCTTAGCTGTTAAGGTTTTAGAAATCTTCCTCTCTTGATGCTGACTTAGACACATGCTGTGTGTGAGACTACTAGCTGGCACCAATGTGGTAAGCACCATACTTATGGAATGATTGGATAATAACAACACACATGTCTAGATTAAAAATCTTTAATGGCAAACTTGCTAGGGCTGGGACTATGAGAAGAGAAGTATAGTCTTAGTGAGAGCCACAGATCCTTAAAGATGATGGTGGATTTCATTGTCTTACCACTAATTTACCGCATGCCCTGAGTCACCAAAATGACCCCTCAGGCCTTTACTAAGTGGAGTAATAGACACATTTTATTCTGGCACTAAAATGGGGCTCAATAAGAACCCTGGCAGGCCTACCAGCTTGGCAAAGGTAAGGGGGTGGGGGAGGGGATAGGGAGGGGAATGAGGAACAGGATAGATGGTGAAAGTGGGATCAAGTATGTGGAGGAGGCAACCTGTCTCTCTGGAAAGTGAGGATGAGCCATCATTAGGGACCGCCTTGGGCACCTACCCATCTTCCCCCAGCATTAACAAATGCTTATTTCAGCAAGAGCACTAGAGACTTAGCAAAGGATTCCCTAAAACACTCCCTAAACTGTGAATGGGACCCTGGAATCCACAGCATGCAATCAAACTGAGGCACTAATTTGTGAATGCTTCAGGCATTTAAAAACAGCTAAAGACTAAAAAAAGACAACACAAACTATTTAAGTAAGAAGACAACACAAAGCAGACTGCCTGAATTTGTGTGTCAGACCAATTTTGCTTAATGATTTGCAAGGATATGTTTTATTGAGATCCCTGAAATAATTTTGCTCTCCGTATCTGAATTTTAAGTTAAATGGAAGTAGCCTAGAGGAAATACATTTCTGTGTGTGTGTGTGTGTGTGTGTGTGTGTGTGTGTGTGTGTGTGTGTGTGTGTGTGTATGTGTGTGTGTGCATGTGTACTGGTACTGGGACTTGAACTCAGGGCTTGAGCA